TGTGTAATACTGAAAGTGAAAATATATCCACCCTTGCTCAAATCATTCTCTTTTTTGGAAACCTCCTTCCCCTTTCTTTCAAGTCCTCCACTGCGACTCTTCAGCTGTTAAGTTGGGATAGCAGAAAAGAGCATCTCGTACACGCCTGGGGATGCGGGCTGCTCTATCCACACAAATATTTATTTCTCCAGGAGCTCGGTCTGCAATGGTCCTCTCTGTGCTGGTTCTCTGAAGCCTGTGCCTCCACTGGCTCCAACCTTGCCCGTCACCGGAGAACAAATCCTGTCCAGCATCTGTTTCAGGGTTTTATGCTGCTGCACATCACTGTAGTACTTTCCACATAAGAACAACAGGAATCACAAAGTCCATAATAGTAGGAATATTCCTCTTTATCCCCATAGGAACCATCACAACTGTCTTCTGAAACCATACAGCTCTGCACTGCAAGCTCAGCTCCACGCAAGGGAAGGAGGAAAGACAGCGCCTTCTAGTAATTAATTGATGGGCACCTCAGTGTGAAGTGACAGCTCCTTCAAATCACTCAAGGGCTCGTAGTGGGCAATACAGTCTGCTTACTAGAGCCAAAGCCTGGGAGCGAGAAGGCTGTGCTCTCCTCCTGGCGCTCCTTGTCAGTCATTGCTGAATGACCCTTCAAGGACGTAAAAAGAGGCGTTTTACCCAACTCTTAGCGAGGCTTAACCACAGAGGGCCTGATTCTCCTACCATGCGCTTGCTCTGACTTTGCACCAGTGCAAACAGAGGATCGAGGATATCCCCGCATCAGAATGATACCAGCATCGCAAGACAGAATTCCTCCTTTTTCTTCCCAAGCAATCAATCCATCAACATGTTAAAAAAATAAGTTTAATGTAGGTGGCACGTTTCATGTGGAATTTAACAGGCACCCAAAACACCAGCTGGTGTCATGTTCTGAAGAGTTAACAAGGTGAAGCTCCAACACTTCCGTCTCGTTCGTACATTCACAGGCGGAACAACAGGCCAAGGCAGCTTTGCCACCGCACGTACCGCCATCCCCGGTCTCAAGTCTGCGCAACGCAGCCGGAGCCTCTCCGCTGCCCAGACACCCGGAAAGCTCTGGGCTGAGCAGGGCTCCTGGGGGAGGTTCTCCGAAGGGGCATGGGTCTGGAATGGGTCTGGGATGGACACACTCTCCCAAATTGGTATTTCTAGTATTTTTCCTAATCATTCTTGAGGCCATTTTTAACCCAGTAAGTATAACAGCAATATTTAAAGCCCAAACATGGAAAGGGGAAAAAAGAAAAAAAAAAAAGACAGGGAACAAACCAGCAGCTCTCGCTGTTCAGGATGGAATTGGCACGAAGGAATGCTGAAATGAAAATTTCAAAAGATTTGAGAGTCACAGCCACCTATGTAGTAAGAAGGGAAGACTTAACACATTTTGGAGCCTGATCCATCCCTCCCAGCGTGGAGGAATTTGGAAAGAGTAAAAAAATCCAGAAGACTATGAACTTCCCCGATGGGGCACTGTTTGCAAGTACCTGCTCACCACGAAAGATTTCTGGCAAATATCATAACAAGCCACTTGTTTGACTCTTGAAAAGCAGAAAGTTCAGCTTCCCTTGTCTCCTTACTTTTGTATTCTACAAAGTTTGGTTCCCCCCCCCTTTGTTAAAATGCCAGGTTTTTTCAATAAAATTAAATG